CCCCAAAACCCCAAAACCCCAAAACCCCAGTGTAAAATACCACAAGGAAAGGTAACGTTTGGTAAGTTATATAATGGAATTATTACAAAAGTTCTCACTCTTTTGAGGTGCCAAGGCGAGTGTTCCTGTCAGTATTGGCTTCTTTGGTAATCTTACTTTTGCTCTTCCTACTTCTTACTTTCTTAAATCTTGTGTATGCTCCACGACTTCTTGCGTCAATAGTGGAGGCAGCGAATGCATCTAGACTTTTTAACATTGATGCATCCTTTTTGACCAAATTCTTTTTGGAGTTTCTTGGGATACTTATTTTAGCAATACTCCTTTCTAGACTAAGTTAAGATTCAAAGTACTAAGCGGTGCGAGTTCTTGCTTTCTCATTCTGATATTATGAACAGAGTTTATCACCTCATTCCTTCTAATTACTCTATGTGTCTTTGGCTTTTTCTGAAATTTATTTGGATTAGCTTTCTATATATTTCCTAACTAAAATTACCTGATAATTAAGACATTTTGACCGTTTAGATGGTGAAAATGATCTCTCTATCATCAAATTTTTGACTTTAAGCCGACTGGCTGATATTTTTATCGCTTTCTTATGAATCTTTCTGAGCAGCTTATTTGGATTTATTTCTTTTGAATTTCTTGGTTGTTTCAAGAACATTAATACGGTCTAGGGATCAGAACAAGCCATACCTTGCATGTTGCTTAGGTAAAACTCTGCTGTATTTTTGTATTTCAAGTGATCTTTTAGGTAATTATTAAATGTCTGATGACTCTGTGTTTTCGATAATTTCGAATCTTCCTTTATGAAGGTAGAGTACTTGAAAATATCTTGTAACTCTGAGTCGAACTTCATATCATTAGTCTCATTTGTGGCTCTGTTATCAAAAGTAGACTCTGCTTGACATCTTGGTGATGACAGATCATCCGTCTTAAAATTTCTATAATTATGCAAGTTGGCATACTTAGAATTTTGCTTATTAGTAGGTACTTCAAGTTCTGGTAAAGATTGGTTTGAGTTTCTATGGCTAAAAATTTAGTGAAAAACGTACAGAACAGGTTTTATTTTAGCTTGTTCTATCAGCCTGTCCATTTTCCTAGAGCTAAGCCTTCTCTCTTGCATCATGCTCTCGATTCATTTCGAACTGGGCTTGTTCAGATATCCATTTCGAGACCCTGATTTTATATCTTTCTGTGAATCACGAGAATTATTGATATCAGAGCATAAATTATTTGAATCTGAGAGACTATTGTCAGAGATCTCATCTATTCTCTTTTTACTCTCATTCTTTATTCTTAAATGAAGTTTATCTTTCAATTTCTATGGGTCATAATGTGGCCTTACAGAGTCTAGGTCAGCACTGATATTACGTCCTTTAATCTTATTAGGACTTGAATGATTAGGCAGGCTTTGAGTCCCTACCAAGCTGAGTAATTTATAGTCAAAACTGCCAGGCACCACTGAATTCCTTCTATTGAACTTAATTTTTACAGTTTCCTTCTTTGTACTCTTGTCGTTATTTTAAGAAGTATGGCTTTTTAGAGTAAAAATACATATGAAATTGATCAACTTTTTCCTTCATTTTTATCAGCTGCTGGGTGAAGTCATTGTGGAATCCCACCACTGGATAGCCATAAACTTTGAGGTCTAGAAAGATTAGATTAGAGGGATAGTTATGCAGTCATACCTCCTATTGATAATCTCTGTCTTATTTTATTTAGCAGAATGTGCCCTTTTAAATACGTAATTCTTCGGCATAGCATCTGGCTTTATTCCGTACTGAGACCAAAGATTTTCAGCTGAGATTTTGAAAATATCTGGCTTATTTTTATCTTTCGGCACAGAAAGCCTGCGGTTACTCGGCTTAGAGGAGGATGGTGGCTTGTAATTGAATGTGTGTGATCTACTTTTTAACTCCTATAAGAATTATATTACTTGAATAATCTCTCAAGAGTAAAGAATCAACATATATATTTGCAAAACCCCAAGCTTTGAACTTTCAGGCGAGTATAACTTCTCACGTAAGGACTCATTTTTTATGAACAAATAAATACGTATTCTTCATTTACCCAGTTAGGGCTCTCGATAAGGTTCCTTACCATAATTTCAATTTATATAAACATTTAAGGGGTTTTGGGGTTTTGGGGTTTTGGGGTTTTGGGGTTTTGGGGTTTTGGGGTTTTGGGG